CAGAAAATTAAATTCAACAGCAAATTAAATTATAAATCAAAATTAAAGTAAAAATTGAGGTACAAATTAAACCATTTAGAGGACAAGTATAGTAAACACCAGGAATAAGATGTGATTTAAAGGGAACAGGTAACAGAGTACTCAGATGTTTAGGACTAATGTCAGGGTAAGAATTTGCAGACCTTAGTTAAGTTATTTAATTTTATCTCAAGATGATCTAGGCTATGTGGCCTTTTTCTGAAACTTAACAAAATAAAAATCAGTAGATTTGGCCCTGTTCTAACTCTAAGAGAAAGGCACTCAGGAATGTGATTTTGGGCACAGGAGATAGTGGAGGGTATGCTAAGTGTGCTGAAGAGACTTGTGTACCACCAGTTATGACCACCTGCAGGAAGAATGGAAATCCCATAAGGCAGGGGCACGTGGGTGGTTCAGTTGGTTGTGTCTGACTTTCGCTCAGACCACAATCTCGCAGTTCATGAGCTCCAGCCCTGCACGGAGCTCTGTGCTGACAGCTCAGAGCCTGGAGCCTGCTTTAGAGTCTGTCTCTCTCTCTGTGCCCCTCCCCTGCATTCACTCTGTCTCTCTCTCTCTCTCAAAAATAAACATTTAAAAAAAATTTTTAAAACTTCAGTATTGTTAACGCACAATGTTGTTTTAGTGTCTAGTGTACAATATAGTGAGGGATTCAACAATTCTATATGTTACTCAGTGCTCATCATGATGAGCGTATTCTTAATCCCCTTCACCTATTTCATCCATCCCTCCAGCAACCTACCCTCCAGTAACCATCGGCGTGTTCTCCATATTTCAGTTATTTTACTTCAATCTGTCTATCAGCATCCAGACTCAGCTCTATTTCTCGGTCTTTTTAAATTTACTTTCTTGTTTTTGTTGATTTTAGAATTTGTCTTTTGACACGTCTCTGATCAGTTGAAAAATATTTACAGAAAAGTTGAGACTACAAAAGTTCCATTTGGTCCTAACCACATACCTTATACTTTCATTTCTGGGCAACTGCCCAGTAAATACCTCTGACCACATCCAGGTTCAGTGTCACAGCTTGAAGTAAGCATCCTGCCCAGAGGACAGTTCCTCACCACAAAGTTACACTGGGGCCTCAACACCTCCTCCCCTTAGGACACACAGGAAGAGCTTAATATATGCTCGGCCATGTAAGCCCTTGCCAGTTGACTGGGGCTTGGTGGATGGTTATTCTCATTTAACAAAAGAAATTTCCAAATAGTTTGTTGAAGTGGTGATGGGTGTTCTTTCTTTCTTTTTTTTTTTTTAAATTTTTTAACTTTATAAAATTTATTATTGAGAAATAGAGAGAGACAGAGCATGAGCATGGGAGGAGCAGAGAAAGGGGGATACACAGAATCTGAAGGAGGCTCCAGGCTCTGAGTTGTCAGCACAGAGCCCAAAGTGGGACTCGAACTCACAAACCACGAGACCGTGACCTGAGCCAAAGTGGGTCGCTTACCTGAGCCACACAGGCTCCTGTGATGGGTGTTCTTAAATGACTTGAACCCAGGCTGTTTGCAAAGCACTGGTGCTTTCTTTCTCCAATAGTTTTAAGAGGCTGGATAAATAGTGTCCATATGAAGCCCATATGTACATTTTTGTAGTCAGATTATCATTTCTGCATACATTTTTGTTGTTTTTTATTTCACTTATTAGAAAGTATGTCTTCTGAAAATTTTGTCCTTTCCTTTTGCAATTTCACATATCACCACGTGATCACTATGTTCTCAAGAATTGTTCCAGCATGACAGATGAAGAGTATGTGTTTAACATCAATTTACTTTGGAAAGGAGACCCTGCAATAGAAAGAGAGCTACTAACAGAAACTCCCCTTTACTTAAGGAACTTAACTGAATAACAAAGGGCAGCCTGTGTTTTTGTTGTTCCAAACATCTTTTACCTTCATGATAATGAGCGGTCTCCCTTTTGTTTCCTCAGGCCCTCCCCTTCTCCTTAACTTCATAGGAGCATTATGTTACCTGACTGCCTTAGAATTTCATGTCCCTGTGGATTTCCTATACCTACACCTGTTAAATTTTATTTTCTCTGGTTAGAGTGTCTTATGTCAATTTGATTCTTTCTTTTAAATATTTTTACTAATTTCTAGGAGAGAGAGAGACAGCGTGAGCAGGGGAGGATCAGAGAGAGAGGGAGATACACACTCTATAACAGGCTCCAGGCTCCAGGCTCTGAGCTGGCAGTCAGCACAGAGCCCGATGCGGGGCTCGAACCCATGAACCGCGAGATCATGACCTAAGCGAAAGTCGGACGCTCACCCTTATGTCAATTTGATTCTATGTTCAACTAGAAGGACCACAGCAGAGGAAGGTCTTCTTCCCTGACAATAAATATATCATCAGAAAAAATAAATTTAAGGCCTTATCTCTTTAATTTCCTATAGTAGTCTTAAATGTGCTGCAAATCTCCGCAATGACATTGAAAAGAAGTGATATTAGAGACTTCTTTGCTTTATGATTTTCTAAAAGCCTATGAATATCTCAAAGTTAAGAGCTATATTGATAGAAATTCTCTCATACATATGCTAATGATTGTTTTTATCATGAAATGGTGTTGAATTATAGCAAATGTGCTTTCCACCTTGATGTCATCATGTTCTATTTCTTTAATCTAGTGTTTATACCAAATTACATTTAATGATTTTTCTTTCAAAGGAAAACTATTACACTCATGAAATAAACTCAATTTGGTCACCTATAGGAGTGTTATTTGCTGTTTTGATTGAGTGCTATTTTAGTATTTTGCAACAATTTTCATAAATGAGATTGAATTTTCTTTTTCCTTTCTTAACATATTCTCACCTAATGTAGGCATCAAGGTAATTCCACTTTTAGTGAAAGAAATAACAACTATTCCTTTTTTCCATACCATCTAGAAGAGTTTGTGTAAATTATGTCTTTTTCTTGAAGTTTATTGTTTTTCTCCATAAAATGATTTGGCATTTGTGTTATCCATATGTAAGATTTCAAATAACCTACTGATTTCATAAATATTTTTTTCTAGCTTTATCAAATTTTGTGGAATCAATATCTATATATGTTAATTGTATGTTATAAATATTGTACATAGATTGTTACAGTGTCCAATTGTTTTATTAGCTAAAGATTATTGCCTAATCATGCTCTCCGATTGAATAGACTTAGATTTACTGATTGAAGTTTGTTTTCACAAGCTCATGTTCAGTGAGAGTTAATATGAGTGAGTGCTTTCTTAGATGTTTCTCTCCAGTGTGTTTTTTAATTTGTTTAAAGTGTCCCAGTTGTATTATATTAATAAAATAATAATAACTATTATGATAACATTGTAAAGAAGCCCCAGTATTGCTTTTAAATAAACTCTTTATTTTATATTAGTCATATATTTATAGAAAAATTGCAAATATAGTACAAAGAGTTTCCATGTGTCCCATTTCCAGTTTCCCGTATTAACAGCTGACATTAGTATGACATGTTTGTCATAATGAATGAACTGATATTGATATATATATTTTTTAAATTTTTAATCCTTATTTATTTTTGAGAGAGAGAGACAGAGCATGAGCAGTGGAGAGGTAGACAGAAGGAGACACAGAATCCCAAGCAGGCTCCAGGCTCTGAGCTGTCAGCACAGAGCCCAACACAGGGCTCAAACTCACGGACCGCGAGATCATGATCTGAGCCGAAGTTAAACGCTTAACTGACATAGCCACCCAGGCATGCCTGATATTGATATATTGTTTTGTTTTATTTTAATTTTTTTTAATTTATGTTTTATTTATTTCTAGGAGAGAGAGAGAGAGACAGCGTGAGCAGGGGAGGGTCAGAGAGAGAGGGAGTCACAGACTGAAACAGGCTCCAGGCTCTGAGCTGGCAGTCAGCACAGAGCCCGACGCGGGGCTCGAACCCACAAACCGCGAGATCATAACCTAAGCGAAAGTCGGACGCTTAACCGACTAAGCCACTCAGGTGCCCCATGATATTGATATATTGTTAAATAAAGAATACTGTTTTCAGAATTCCTTAGTTTTTACCTAATGTCTTTTTTTCTGATTCATTCTAACAGCCTGGATACCATATGACATTTAGTCATTATATCTCTTTAAGCTCCTTTAGGCCATGACAATTCCTTTAATCATACTTTAATGTAACAAAAATTATGAGTAGCTAAAAACCAGAATATTAAGACATTAGTTGATTGTGTTGCTATTCTGGCGTAAGATTTGGTGCTATTGTTCTCAACAACAGAGTAGTATCATGAGTGAAGTTTACAAGGAAAATAGAGAAAAGGATCTATTTAATAGGAGCAGAAATGGATCTGGACACCAAATATATCATAAATAAAATCATATTGGCTACAAAGTGATAATTCTTTGAGCTCGGCATATGGTTCGGTCAGAGTATTTTTATTTTGTACACACTTTATATTTTTATAATTAAAAGATTATGTATGTACACATATGTCTATTCACATGTATGCATTTATGTGTGTGCATATACTTATATGTATGTGTATACATATATGAAAGGTATCTTTCTACGGTTCCAACTTAGATGATACATTTAGCATACTTGATTTCATTCAAATTTATAACAGCATGTGCACAAGATGATTAAGAAGTTAATTTAACTTTCTTTTTTTTCACACAGTGCTCACAACCCTATTTTAGACCAATTTGTCAGTTTTAATTCAGAAAAAGATTATGTAAGCCCATCATTTCCCCCCCTTAAAACTCTGTGAAACTTCTTGTCACTGAATTAATCACTTTAAGTCATAAAATCATCTTCACAGCTCACATTCATTTCACCAGTGAGCAGAATTTTCTGTGCTGTGATAGGCGGAAATACTGTGGTTTGTTTGTGGTTTTTTTCATAAGGAGAGATTAAAATAACATTTGTCGTATCTTCCCCAGGGATCAAAATTGACAGGAGAGAACATCTCTACTTTTAATTCTAAATTGGTAACACAGGACATGTCTCAACTTTTCAGTTGTATAGAAGGTTTTAGCCACAGAATCAAGATCTTCCTTCTTTGATCAGGTGTGTTTCTGTGTGTGTTTGTGTTTCTAACAACTATTATTCAAGAAATGAGAAATTCTTGAGATTTCAAACTCAAGAGTGTTTCCAAAAATATTTACACCATAAGATAATTATAATTGATTGCTAAGTGTTTGACTAGAATTATGGAGGGGAAAGAATGCTTCTTACTTTTAAGCTATACACTCTTTTTTCCTGGGTTCAATGATGAGTAGATAGGATATACTTACTGAAGAATAAGTTATGAATTTGCTGTGAAGATGGAGTTTAATCATCAAACAAAACTCCAAGACTGAATCTACCTTTGGGATTAGAGAATTGAATTTCAACTTGAATTCTCACACGTTGAGTTTTCTGCTCTAGTGCAAGGCACTTAACCTTCTGTGATACACAGTTTTATTTGCAAAATGAAAAACATGTCATTACTTCCAACTACTATGAGCAAATATGAAACGGCCTTTATTGTTTTTAATCTAAGCACTCTTTATAATTATTAAATAGCCATTTTTTTCTGAGAGCTCTTCTAGGCATTCTACTATATAAATATGAGATTATTTTTGTTAATAATGATGGTGATCACAATTTATAGGTGATGATGGTGGCGATGATGATGATAACAATGATGATGATATGGACAGGAGTTGAATTAATATGTATTAGAAAAAACATTCAACAAAAATTTACATCACTGGCCCAAATTTGCCTCACAAAAAAAGCACACATAGAATATTATGTGTGTTGTCATTTGATATCTGTGATAAAAAATATTTTTGATTAAGTATCTTGATGCAGGTGAGTTAAAACACCTATTATATTTTTTTTTAATATTTTTTATTTATTTCTAGGAGAGAGAGAGAGACAGCATGAGCAGGGGAGGGTCAGAGAGAGAGAGAGATACAGACTCTGAAATTGGCTCCAGGCTCTGAGCTGGCAGTCAGCACAGAGCCCGACGCGGGGCTTGAACCCACCAACTGCGAGATCATGACCTAAGCGAAAGTCGGACGCTTAACCGACTAAGCCACCCAGGCGCCCCATTATATTTTTGAGAGAATTATTTATTATTTTGTAACCAGGAGAACTTTAATAAATTAATTTTACCTGGTTTATTTGCCTGGCTTTAGATGAACTCTTATTTTCATTTTTTCCCTTTATATATAGATGAATGGTGAAAATATTGCTATAGTCTCATTTTCCTAATGAAGATATGTTATCTCACCCTAAGGAAAGAAAACATGCCCAATTTTATTTTATTCAGGAATTCTTCACTGGGGTAAATAAACAGTCATAATTATACAATGAAGCTGGTCCAAGATCAGTGGGCTCCTCACAGCATGGGTATGTACCTTCCACTTAAATGTGCAGTTTGGCTTGTGTATAATTTTTTTAAGTTTATTTATTGAGAGAGAGAGAGAGAGAGAGAGAAGGAGTATGAGCAAGGCAGGAGCAGAGAGAGAGGAAGAGAGAGAATCCCAAGCAGGCTCTGTACTGTTAGCGCAGAGCCTGAGATGGGTCTCAAACCCACAGACCGTGAGATCATGACCTGAGCTGAAATTAGGAATTTTTTAATGTTTATTTTGGAAAGAAAGAGACAGAGCATGAGCAGTGGAGGGGCAGAGAAAGAGGGAGACAGAGAATCTGAAGCAGGTTCCAGGCCCTGAGCTGTCAGCACAGAGCTGGATGTGGGGTCGAACTCATGAACCACAAGGTCATGATCTGAGCCTAAATCAGTCGCTTAACTGACTGACTAAGCCACCCAGGTGCCCCTATATAATTGTTAAGATACCTGGAATTTGATACACGTATACAAGGCATAAGAAAGCAAATTACTCCAGGGGCACCTGGGTGCCGCAGTCGGTTAAGTGTCAGACTCTTGGTTTTGTCTCAGGTCATGATCTCGCAGTTCTTGAGTTCGACCCTACGTTAGTCTCTGCACTGGTGGTGCAGAGCCTGCTTGGGATTCTGTCTCTCCAACTTTCTACCCCTCCCCTCCTCATGCTCTTTCTCTCAAAATAAAGAAATAAGCATTAAAAAGAAGAAAGAAAATTACTCTGACTCACTTATGCCCTTTTCATATTATGTCCATGTTATATTTTAAATAAAGTTTTCAAAAACTTGAAAGATTTTTTCCTCCTTTGTTTTATTAACTACCTAAAGTAAAATCTTTCACAATTTGAAGCAGCCTGAAATAGTGACAGCATAATGATTGGGAGTTGGGACAATCCACAGCCTCTATGCACTTAAGTTTCCTTTTTCTATCAAACATAGATATAAAACATGCTATATTTACCTTAGTATATTTCTATTCCCAACATTATATTAAATAAGCAATATGATTTTGGCCACCTATAACATTCAGGTTCTTTATCCAGAAAATAATACCTACCCTTTTCACGTGTTTGATAATTAAATTACACACAGTATGTGCAAAAAATGCTTTAGCTTAATTTTACATATAAAAGATAATTCATATTAACATTTCATTTATAAATGAAATAAAGTAATGATTGTTATATCAGGAAGAGAGCAAAATGAATTTTTACTTGTTTTATTCAGGGGCAAGATTCTTTATGTGTCTTTATCTTAAAATTTTATTCCTTATTATTTTGTTCATTGTATGTCTTTCACTTTAAACAAAAATTGGGCATTTACTGTTTACTACATGACTAACATTATTGTTACTAAAGGCATATTATTTAATTTCACTTTTTAAATACCCATAACAATTTGTGCTGATATCCTTTGTTCTTTCCTTTTCTCTTATTTTTATTCTTCCTTCCTTCCTTTCTCTTTTTCTTTCTTTCTTTCTCTCGCTCTCTCTTTCTTTCTTTCTTTCATCTGTGAAGTTGTTAACTTACCAAATGAGGTTCCATGAGTTAAACACATGTCTAACTCCTTAGGCCCCTGTCTTTTTTATGATACACTGTCTTTATTTTATTTTTAAATTTTCTTAAAAAATTATTTATTTATTTTGAGAGAGGGAGAGAGACAGTGCGAGTGAGTGGGGAGGGGCAAATAGAAACTGAGAGACAATCCCAAGCTGGCTCCTGCCCCAATATGGGGCTCGATCTCATGAAGTGTGAGATCATGATCTGAGCCAAAAACCAAGAGTTGGACCGTACCTGACACCCAGGCATCCTACGCTGTCTTTATTTTAATGTTCAATTTCATTACACATTAAGAATTAACTGATTTTATTTTTTAATGGTTTTTTTTTTATTATTTATTTCTAGGAGAGAGAGAGCGTGAGCAAGGGAGGGTTAGAGAGAGAGGGAGACACAGAATCTGAAGCAGGCTCCATGCTCTGAGCTGGCAGTCAGCACAGGGCCGGATGCGGGGCTCGAACCCACGAACAGCGAGATCATGACCTAAGCGAAAGTCGGACGCTTAACCGACTAAGCCACCCAGGCGCCCCAAGAATTAACTGATTTTAATAGAACGTAAAATCTTGCCTAAGAGATTTTGCCAAAGAATAAGTATAATTTTATTCATATTAAAAGCACAAAAATCATAATAATGAAGTAATATAAAATAAAAGAAACTTGATGTCATTTATACTTTTATAAGGATCTGAGTAGAATAGCAAGTGAAATTGTAAAAATGTATGACCCAAGTGGCAGAAAGGCTATGACTCCTATTGGCCTGAATTGTATTTGTCCAGACAGGGATGCAGTCCGTAATTATGACTCCGAACTGGTAAAGCACAGTGCTTCCGCACGACCAAGGAGAAGGCCTACAGTAATCACAAGCAAATGTGGACAAAACCGTAAGTTCGTCATTGCATGTCTTCTCTACATATTTTGAAGTGAATCCCGAATGCATCGGATTAGTGCAGTGAGAAACAATCCGTTTATTTTACCTTCATGAGAAAAGCAGAAAGGAAATTCACTCTAGTATACTATTGGAATATATAATACAGTTAGACACTGGTTTAAGATTTTTTTCATGATCTCCAGGTTATCATGAACAAAATTGAGACCAGTTTCTTGACGTTTTTTTAAAGATGTTATCTAAATTCTGGTTAGTTAACATGCAGTGTAATGTTAGCTTCAGGTTTAGAATTTAGGGATCCATCACTTTCTTACAACACTCAGTGCTCATCCCGAGTGTGTTCCTTAGCCCCATTACATATTTAACACATCCCCCCATCCATCTCCTCTCTGCTAACTATCAGTTTATTCTCTGTAGTTAAGAGTCTGTTTCCCGGTTTGTCTATTTTTTTCTGCTCTATGTTCATTTGTTTTGTTTCTTAAATTCCACGGATGAGTGACAGCGCATGGGGGACTTCTCCTAGAGAGGAACTCAAAAATATGTACAAGCGCATGAAAATGTTATTCATGTTATGATATCTAATAACAAAACTAAGAAACAATTTAAATACACATTGGAAAATATTAAAAGACTCTCTGGGGATTTTTTTGTCCATATACCAATGAAAGACAATGCAAGCAGCTATTTATACAAATTTGACAACTTTATAAGACACAATGCAGAATAATCTCTAAGATATTTTCTCAAGTGAAAGAAACTCAGAATATTTTGCAGTTTCTTAAACATATCGTTTAAGAGATACCACCTCACACCAGTCAGAGTGGCTAAAATGAACAGATCAGGAGACTATAGATGCTGGCGAGGATGTGGAGAAACGGGCACCCTCCTACACTGTTGGTGGGAATGTAAACTGGTGCAGCCCCTCTGGAAAGCAGTGTGGGGGTTCCTCAGGAAACTAACAATAGAACTCCCCTATGACCCAGCAATAGCACTGCTAGGAATTTACCCAAGGGATACAGTATTGCTGATGCATAGGAGCACATGTACCCCATTGTTCATAGCAGCACTCTCTACAATAGCCAAAACATGGAAAGAGCCTAAGTGTCCATCAACGGACGAATGGATCAAGAAGATGTGGTTTATCTATGCCATGGAATACTACATGGCAATTAGAAAGAATGAAATCCTGCCATTTGTAGCAACATGGATGGAACTCGAGGGTATTATGCTAAGTGAAATAAGTCAGGCAGAGAAGGACAGATACCATATGTTTTCACTCATATGTGGATCAGAAGAAACTTAACAGAGGACCATGGGAGTGGGGAAGGGGAAAACTAGTTAAGGAGAGGGAGGGAGGCAAACCATAAGAGACTCTTAAATACTGAGAACAAACTGAGGGTTGATGTGGGTGGGGGAGAGGGGAAAATGGGTGATGGGCATGGAGGAGGGCATTTGTTGGGATGAGCACTGGGTGTAATATGGAAATCAACTTGACAATAAACTATAAAATAGAAATAAATAAATAAAACATTACAAATAAATAAATAAAATAAAGTTATTTCCTTTAAAAAATAAAAAATAAACGTTTTTAAAAAGGGATTGAAGGAATTGTCTATGTTTCTTATTGTATCTACATGAAAATTTTAAAAATTATAACCATGATTTATACTAAGGAGGGAACTGGAGAACTTTTGGGGAGAAGCAGGAGGGAATCTGCATTTCTATAGTCTCTTTTTTTAAATCATTTACAAAGTACCTATGTTACTTGTTCTGAGAAAAATAATTAGGGTAAAAGTACTGATATCACCCCTCCCATAAAAAAAAATCTAATGTTTATATTAAACGTGAACATACCGAAATTTTTTAATCCTTATTTTTTTCTTCTTTCTTATTCTTTTTGTTTGTTTGTTTTCTTTTGTTTCTGACAGCATCTCCATTTTTCCTGGTCCATTCCATTGCTATAGCTCTGGGGATCCACTTCATTATAATGGTAATGATATGCGGTGCCATAATCATACATTGTAAGTAATAGTAGAGAAGGAAATAAAGCATTCTTGACCTAATTAATGTATTACTTTGATTAGTATTCAGAAGCACAGAAACAAAAGCTAGCAATATTGGAAGCGTCCTTATGTTTTTGCTACCTGTCTAGAAATGTCAACTACTTTTGCTAGAACCGTAAGTTACTAACAACACAAACCCTTTTGCTAATTATGATTTTTTGTTATTGAAATATGTCTTACATATAATGTTTTAGGTGTACAATGTAGTGATTCGACAATTCTATATATCACTCAGTGCTCACAATGATGAGCATCATCACCATCTGTCATGATACAATGTTATTACAATATTATTGACTATATTCCCTATGCTGTACTTGCCATTTTTATAACATACTTATTTTGTAACTGGAAGTCTGTACCTCTTAATCCTCTTAATGATTATTTTAATAGCATTATTGAACAAAGAAGCTCCACTTTCTTTGGAAGGTAAGTGAAAGTTCTCTAATATTTTAAAGGACAAATTACATGCGTCTTGGTGTAATTGGGTATGGGCATATATCCAACAGTGTTAACAAGAGAGTGTGTAAGAAAATGATTAACTCTTGCCGATAATCCATAGCATTCCAACATTTTTTATCTTTTAACAATGGAGGGCTCCTACAAAGCAGAAGGTACTTAGTCTTGGCATCTGTCTGTATATATATAAATTTGTGGCGATATGTCATTGGAGATTATCAGATTGGTTTATCTGGAATGTTAGAGTTGGAATAAAAGGTATTTGATTTGTCTAGACAGAATCTGCTATAGTGCTCAGATCTGTACAGAATTAATAATATATTCTTCCCTTTCTAGAAAGTTATTGTGGCCCATGTCCTAAAAACTGGCTATGTTATAGAAATACCTGCTACCAATTTTTTAATGAGAGCAAAAGCTGGTACCAGAGCCAAGCTTCGTGTATGTCTCAAAATTCCAGTCTCTTGAAGATATACAGCAGAGAACACCAGGTTGAGTATATGTTCTAATTTCCCTTCCTATATTTACTCCTAACATATGAGCCAACTCATGAGAATATGAACCTGAAACATAAGAGAGGCACTAAGACTCAGATACATCTACCCTCAATCTTTCTTCATTAAAAATAAGAAAGCATATTGTAGGTATTATGTATAGTGTTGTTTAAGTCAGAATTAGGCTAGAGGACAGAATCCATTTCCCCAAGTGTGGGAAGAAAATGATTAAGTGATTATGGCCTTGAATTAACCAAAATTCTGAGCACTGATTTTATTTGTGGTTTCAAACAGGATTTCTTGGGGTGCCTGGGTGGCTCAGTCAGTTAAGCGTCCAACTTTGGCTCAGGTCATGATCTCATGGTTCGTGGGTTGAAGCCCTGTGTTGGGCTCTGTGCTGACAGCTCAGAGCTTGGACCTTGTTTCAGATTCTGTATCTCCCTCTCTCTCTGGCCCTCCCCTGCTCACACTGTCTCTCTCTCTCTCTCTCTCAGAAATAAATTAAACATTAAAAAAATTTTTTTCAAACAGGATTTCTTAAAATTGGTGAAGTCTTATCATTGGATGGGGCTAATACAAATTCCTGCAAATGGATCGTGGCACTGGGAAGATGGCACCATTCTCTTACCCAACCAGTAAGTCTATACCAATAGGTGTCTATTTGTGTATTTGTCCCTAAGCTATCCCTGTGGTCATTCAACTAGCACATGTTACCTCACACAATGCCAGGATGTTCCCATATTCTAACAGATTCAGCAAAAAACTCTGAGGGCCTACATTTAGGATATTAGGTGGTCCTCAATACCACAATAATGAGAAACATTGTTTGCTATGTGCTAAATACTGTGCAACATAAGTCTAATAATACACCCTTTTTACAGATAAGGAGACTAAAGCAGAGAGGTGTCACGTATATTCTTTCTAGCTGTGTTTACTGGAATTGTTGAGATACAGTTATATTCAATAAACTGCATATATTTGAAGTGTACAATTTAATACATTTTTTGAGAAATGTATACATCCACAAAACCATTAATAACATCAAGATATCAACATTTATCACCTGCAAATCAAGTAGGTTGAGAGCATTGCTCAAGTCTTCTGTATCCTTTCTGATTTTCTGTCTACTTATTCTATCAATTACTGAGAGAGAGGCATTGAAATCTTGGACTATAATTGTATATTTATGCATTCTACTTGTATTTCAAACAGTTTTTCCTAATATATTTTGAAGTTCTACTGATAAATGTTTGGATTATTGTTAAATAATGATGAATTTATGGCTCTATCATTATGTAATGTGCTCTTTTTCCATCTTGATATTTTGTGCTATGAAGTCCTGCTTTGTCTATTATAAATATAGGTATTCCTATTTCTTTTTGGTTAGTATTAATGTGGTATTTACTTTTGCATTCCCTTATTTTTAAGCTATGTGGGTATTTATATTAAAAGTAAATCTCTGGTAGACAGAATACAATTTAAGTCATTTTTTTTCATCCAATCTGACAATTTCTGCCCTTTTAATGCAAGTGGAAAGCTTTTACTTTCTATGTGATTATTTATATGATTAAATTTAAGTCTTTATCTTGCTATTTGTTTTTTATTTGTCCAATTTGCTATTTATTTCTTTTTCTTCTTTCTCAGGCTTTTTAAACTATTTTAATTTAGGCTAACCTGTTATCTCTTTTCTTCATTTTTAGATACTGCTATTTGATTTTTAATTTCAGACTTTGCTCCATAGTTTATTGAATATATATTCAACTTACTAATTGCTATTATATCACTCATATATAGTTTAGGGCTCTTGTAATAGTAGCCTTCCATTTCTCCCTTCCTAAACTTTGTATTATTTTTTTCCAGCTTTATTGAGATATAATGAACATACAACATTGTATAAGTTTGAGGTGTGCAATATGATGATTTGATACATACAAATTTTGCACTGAGTACCACATAAAGGTTAATGAACACATTTATCATCTTCACATGACCATAATTATTTTTTGGTGAGAATATGTAAGCAACTTTCATGTATGTAATACAGTACTGTTAACTATAGTTATCATGCTGTATACTAGATACACCATTAGATAATATAGTATACATAGATAATTTTATATATATTATATATGTTATATATATATTTACATATATATACTTAGGTTGTTCATTTGAGATCCTTCTTTTTTCTTAAGTTAGGCATTTATACCTATGAAATTCCCACTTAGGACTGCTTTGCTATTGATGTGTCATCATTTTGTTTGTGTCACACTTTTTGATGCCCCTTTTTGATTTCCTCTTTGACCCATTGGTTGCTCAGGATCATGTAGCTCAATTTCCATGCATTTGAGAAATTTTCTGTTCTCCTCCTGTTATTGATATCTAGTTTCATACCATTGTCATCAGGAAAGATACTTGATATGAGTATCAATAAAGTATCAATACTTTATTTTATTTTATTCATTTTATTTTATTGAGCATATATTTTATTTTATTTTATTTATTTTTAAAATCTACACCTTTATTTATTCAATCCTCGAGGGGTACAGCATCACATAGATTCTGTGGCCAATGGCTTTAGCAGGAAAGTCACTTCGGAATTTGGCACAAGCCACGCTACTGTTTCCCGGTGCACATTAGTTTTCCCCAGATAACTCTGGTGCTGTTTGGTTTGTCACCAGGACTCACTGTGTTGTTCTCTGCTGTGTACACATAAGCACATTTCTTGCCTAGATAGAATTCACTTTCATCTCAAGCATAAACGCCTTCAAGTTTAAGAAGAGCTATGTGCTCCCTCTGGTTTCAGAGACCCCTTTTATAACCAGCAAAAACAGCCTTGGACCACAGCCTCCCAGACGTATTTGTCATTTTAGTTAGGAGTCTTGTTCCTGGCAGGCCTCCCCAGGTTCCAAGATGGCTTGATTTGTAATCTTAAATTTCTTAAGGCTTGTTTTGTGGCCCAACGTTTAATCTGTCCTGGAAAATGTTTCAAGTGCACTTGAGAAGAATGTGTAATCTGCTTCTGCCGAATTGAATATTCTGGATATGTCTGTTAGGCCCATGTGTTCTACAGTACTATCCAGATTTACTGTTTCCTTATTAAATTTCTGATGATCTATTCAATGTTGAAAGAACAGCATTGAAATCCCTCATGTTACTCTATTGCTATCTATTTCTCCTTTTAATTGTGTTAATATGTGCTTTATATATTTTGGTGTTCAATGTTGGGTACATATATGTTTAAAATTATTTTCCCCTCTTGATTAATTGGCTCCTTTACTACAATAGAGGGACCTCCTTTGTCTTGTGTGACTGATTTTGACTCAAGGTCTATTTTGTCTGATATAACTATAGCCACACCTGCACTGTTTGGGTTTTCATTTGCATGAAATATAACTTTCATCAGCTCACTTTTGGCCTATGTGTGTCCTAAAGCTAAAGTAAGTCTTTTACAGACAGCATATTGTTATATTTTGTTTTTAATCCATTTAGTCTGTCCATAATACATCATTTGCCCTCTTTCTGATTGCTTTAACCATTTTTCTTTATAATTGGATTTTAGGCATTTGTCTGTAATATGCCTTCGATTAGTTTTCTCATATTCCTTGTGCTTGTGTTTTTGTTTTTTTTTTTTTGAACTCTTGGATCTAGGTGTTTATAATTTTCAAGCACAATTAGAAAATTTACTACCTTTATTTCTTCAAGTGTTTCCCCTTCTTCATTTCTCTTCTCTCTTCCCCAGACACACAAAGATTACAGATCTATTAAGCAAATTAGTTGTGATAAACTGGTGTCCTTTTCACTTGTTTTCTTTGTGTTTCATTGTGGAGATTTTCTATTGTCTTGAATTCAATTGTTTAATCTTTTTTTCCTGCACCATCTATTTTTCGCTACCCTATCAAGTGTGCAGTTCATCTCAGACACTGAACTTCTCATTTCAGAAGTTTGATTTGGCTGCTATTTCTTGAATCTTCTATGTATTTCTTAAACTTTTTGGAATATATGGAATTCGGTCATAAAAACTGTCATGATATCTAGGGCACCTGGGTGGCTCAGTTGATTAAGTGTCTGACTTCAGCTCAGGTCATGATCTCACTGTTTGTGAGTTTAAGCCCCGCCTCTGGCTCTGTGCTGACAGCTCAGAGCCTGGAGCTTGCTTAGGGTTCTGTGTTTTCCTTTTTCTCTGCCCCTTCCCCGCTCACACTTTCTCTCTCTGTCTCTCAAAACTGAATACACATTAAAAAAAGAAAAAGAAAAAAATCCCAAAAACCTGTCATGATATCCATAACTGCTCACTTTAACATTTGTGCTAGTTCTGGGTCAATTTTAATTGATAGATTTTTCTCTTCATTATGGTCACATTATTTTGTTTCTTTGCTTACAGTTACTTTTCTATTAAACTTCATACACTGTGAATTTCACCTTTTTAGTGCTACATTTTTTTTATCTATAAAATTATTTATGAGCTCTTTTTTTCCTGAGACACAAATAAGTTACTTGGACACAGCTTGATCTGGTTTGGTCTTCCTTGGCTTTTCAGCATTATTAGGATGCTTAGTTTACAACTGATTATCCCCCACTACCAATAAAAGGCACTTTTAAGTAATCCACCCAAAGCCATTTGAAATTTGAAGTTTTACAACATGGCTGGTGAAAATAGGCATGATTTTAGACCCTGTGCAAGCATTAGGTAATTCCTTCTTTGTTCTAGGGAAGTTTTCTTACACACATGCATTAACCAATACTCTTTATATACTCAAGTTAGACCTTCTGCATATCCTCAGATCTCTTTATTTGTTCACCTCTCTCATCTCAAGTCCTGTGTCCTGTGAACTCCAGCTGTCTGGCTCTTTCTGGACTCTCCAGTATCCTATGTATCCCGTTTCTATAGCCTGCTTTTAACCACTTGATTATGCAGCTCAGCTGTGCATAGCAGGACCAAGTGAAAATATCCTAGTGCTCACAGAGGTTATGAATACAGCCTTACGCTGTTGGAGGCATGCTAGGATAGCTCTCTTAAAAGGTCGCTTCAATCACTCAGGATCATATCACCATTTTAGCGCAAATCTCAGGAATAAAACCCAAGTGGTTTGTCATGTCTGCTGCCCTTCAGTCTCATGATATCCCAGAGGAAACAGAAGTTCTTTAGACTATAAAAGTTTTTAATTCTGTTTCGAGTATACTTTACTTATCGGAACCTCTAATTCTGTAATAAGTATCAAGAACATCACAACATCCTTACTAATGTCAGGTTAATTAAGTGCTTTCTTTCCCTCAGACACAGTTTTAAGCACTTTGTATGTATTTTCTCATTGAAGACCCTTAAAAAACATATAACAGAGGTCATTTTTAACCTAATTTTGTTGGTAAGGAACAGAATCTTAGAATGTATAATAATTCAGTTAAGCTATAAAACCAGTGATGGTGGTAGGGAGTCAAATAAATCTCTTTCTTACTCCATAGCCACAGTTATCATTAAATGGCTTTAAAGAATCTCTTATCACTGATTTTGAAGTTTACTTTGCTCTCTAATGGTTGGTTAGTTGGTGGTGATCAATGCATGACCTTTTACTGTCCTCTGTTTCCTTCAAATGTCCCCTTCTATTCATTATCAGGGACTACTCATTGTATATTTGGAAACTGGAGACCCCAGTTTATCTTAGAATTGATCTGGGATGATCTTATTTCTGTATGGCTGGATATTTTATTTTTGGCAAAAAAAAAAAAAAAAAGGTTATTCCCTAGAAATACTAGTAAAATTTTGTATCACCTTATCTCAATATTTCCCACTCTGCAAGTGCAAATGTTTTAGAAGCCAAAGCAAAACAACCAGCATATTAAGTTTCAGTTTGTGCATGTGATAAATATTTCTTGAGCATTACTCAATTTCCAGAAACTATGCAGAGATAACTACAGGGATGAATAGTACAGAACTCCATCAAGACCTTCACACTTTAGTCAGAGATACAGTTTTAAACAAATAAAACCCAGAGTTATACTCTGGTGGACACGTGATGTGGAATGGTACGGGAAAACAGACACAGAAGCTGAAAGGAAAACAAAAGCAAAATCAGATTTAAAAGTGAAACTCTAATGTGCATAGATTGAGATCAACTAAAAACAGTTACTAAAAATTTCTTAATTGTTTTTTTCTTTTTTTTTTTAATTGTTTTTTTCTTATTACCATAAGAAGTAGTGTTTTCTATATGGACTGAGTTTCTTCTCTTGTCCTTTTTATCTTTTTTTCAAAAATTTTTAATGTTTACTTCTGAGAGAGAGAGAGAGAGAAAGAGAATGTGAGTGGGGGAGGGGCAGAGAGAGAGGGGGGACACAGAATCCGAAGCAGGCTACAGGCTCTGGGCCATCAACACAGAACTTGATACAGGGCTCGAACCCATGAACTGTGAGATCATGTCTTGAACCAAAGTCATTCACTTAACCAGCTGAACCACCCAGTCGATGCCACATCTCCCCTTATCCTTTTAAATACATATTATCAGACCACAGTCTTTCTTTTTTCTATTGGTCTGATTCACATTAGTTCATCATCACTCTTTGCTCAGCCCTCTATTTCTCACCTCTTCCTGGCAGGAAATAAATCACCAGATTCCATGGCAAAATAGATACACAGATATAGCTATCTCTAGATGAAATGCCTACACACACACGCACACATGTTTATGTGTGTATATATACGTATATGTTAATATCATATATAATATACAGATATATTATATATACATATATGTATATACACACATATAAGAGAATTTTACAATTTATTTTTATTTCCTTACCAAGTTACACATATATAAATAAGATTATTTATTTTTGCATAAAACATGAAACCTGCTGACCTCATTGAATTCTAAACTTATTTCTAATCCATTTGTTTAAAAACGACTTTTAAAATCTTTCATTTCAGGGCACCTGGGTGGCTCCTTCAGTTAAGCATTAGACTCTTGAACTCGGCTCAGGTCATAATCTCATGGTTTGTGAGATCCAGCCCCACACTAGGCTTCATGCTGACAGCACGGAGCCTGCTTGGGATTCTCTCTCATCCTCTCTCTGCCCCTCCCCCACCCTCTCTCTCTCAAAATAAAAAAGCAACTATTAAAAATAAATATAAAAGCAAAATTTTTTTAAAAAACCTTTCATTTCATTCAAGTACATATATCAAAAGATTCTAGATTTCCTAAATTGACTAATTTCCAATATAGACAAAATAATGGCATATAATAGAATGAAACTTCGACGTTTATCACTGAGCTGGCTTTGTTCTGCATACGTTTTAACTAAGCATGATCTTAAAACATCCTGAAAAGATGTTGCTTCAATACTTATATTTAAATACACTTTATTGCATTTTTATATTTGTGTATTAATAAAGTAAGTCATGAATATAATTTGTCCTTCTCTCTTATCTAGACTAACCATGGTTGACATGCAGAATGGAACATGTGCAGTTTATGGCTCGAGTTTTAAAGGTTATACAGAAAACTGTTTAACTCCAAACACGTACATCTGCATGCAGAAGATTGAGTAAAAGTTTATGACTTAAAAAATGTAAAAGATCCAAACACACAGTAGCCTTGCGCTGAATGTGCTCCATGAAGAAAACTTGCAGAAGAAAATTCCACCAGTAGTTATTGAATTATTTAGCCATCTACAACCAGACACAAAGATGACCTTGCAGGGGAATAAAGGCCAATAAATGAAGAACTTGTCTTCTTTAAGAATGCTTTGTTTAGTTTTCGTAAAATTGGGGGTAATGGACAGATTCATTTTTGTATTTAATAAACTGCTGATGAAACCCAGGGTTGAACTAAATTTCAAACTATGAGTCTTTAAATGCACACAAAAGATACACTAAGAAGGCTTTTAGAAATTTTGAAAATCAAATGAATCTAAAACTGAGTGAAAGACATATGAGGGTTCATTAAATTTACTATATTTAAAAATTTTCAAAATAAGAGCAGAAAAGTCAACAGATGCACCCTCAAATTTTCACAATGCTACTCCTGTTTTAACACAGTGCATGAGATGTTTTGTAGAAATTGAATTCCTCCCTCTACTAGAGCACTGATTGCTGCAAAACACAGAAAACGAAGAATAGACTTTGAAGAGAAACTTCTAGGCCTCTCGGCAAAATAGCATCTGAGTTGGAACCTGTGGAGTGACTAGACGTTATCTCTGCAAATCAGTAGGATGACAGAATTCTTGCAAATGGAATAATACTTGCGAATGTAAAGAGAAAGAGTCTGTGACTCTAAAGAAAGCCGCTTTGTATTTATAGGTCTGATTCTGCTTGTTGTTTGTTTATTCATTCGCTTGTCTGTTTTAGATTCCACATAGGAGTGAAATCAAATAGTATTTGTCTTTCTCAGTCTGACTTACATCACTTACCAGAATATTCTCCAGGTCCATCCATGTTGTCATAGGATCTTATCTTTTTTTATGGCCCTATAATATTCCATTATATATATCTATATCCACCACATCTTCCTTATCCATCAGGCTATTGGTGGACATTTAGGTTGCTTCGATACTTGAAACTAATGTAATCTTGTGTGTCTACTATATAGTAGCAAAAAAAAGTTACAGCTCCCCAAAAAAAATCTATTTTGATAAGAGCAGAATGATGGAGAAGACAAGGAACCTAAGAAGCAGAGGAGAGAGAAGCAGAGGCTAAACCATGTGGAGCTTTGTGTACCCATTATAATTTTGGTTTTTATTCTAACTGTGCTTGCCATTTGTGACGGGCATGAAGAAATGGATTGAACAGCATTTGGGGGGAAAATTAGTATAAAATGTCATGAAAAAAATTATTTATTTCTACATGGTCATTCAAGGGCTGAGAATTGTGTTGACCCAAATTAGTTCTTATTTTATTTTAGTTTTTACATTTTTAAATTTATTTTTGAGAGACAGAGCATAAGTGGGGGGAGGGGCAGAGAGTGAATGAGACACAGGGGCTTTGCGGGGCTTGAACTCACAAACCGCGAAATCGTGACCTGAGCCAAAGTTGGATGCTTAACCGACTGAGCCACCAGGGAGGCTCAGCCCAAATTAGTTTTTAAATGCTTGTGTAAAGTTGTAATAAGCACCAATCACAATTTTAAAACTTTAGCATTTTGTCATATTTTAGATTTTATTATTAAACATTTAAATCGCAGAAAGTATGCAAAACAGCAATGTTTGCTTTGAAAAAAATAAAATTGGACTATATTTCTGTTTCGGGAAGTAAGAAAGGAAAAATAGCCTAGTAGTAGGCCCCACTGAAAACAACGAAAACAGTTTATACTATTGTATAATATATTACAGCTTAGAGAAAACATTGCTAAACCAACAAAAGGGTAAAAGCTCTGTAGAGTATCACGATTCCGTGAAAACGGGAATCCCCAGAGAAAAGCAAGCACAGAAACTGACATTCATTCTAAGGGTTTACAATGAACTTGGGAACCTTAGTTTCTATTTTGATTGTTGTCATGGAGCACTGGAAACACAAGATAAAGCTAAGGGGTCACCTTACCTAAGGGGTTAAATACAAGTTATTTTTCTAGAACGGGAACATTCAAAGACTACAATCTCATATAAAGAATAACAAATAAGACCTACATTTCAGGATATAGTAACAAGAACCCTCCATAGTGAAGCAAATAGAATATGTCATCACAAAATATGTCTCTTTCACATAGTTATTTTGAGCTAAAGAAAATTAAGAAATAGCTTGAAATCACTTTCTCAAAGATATCTGCACCCCATGTCCATTGCATAATAATGCAATGTCAAAGTCAAATGTCTTTGACTTTACAAAGTCAAGACATGGAAACAACCTAAGTGTCCACCAATAGATGAATGGATAAAGATAATGTGATATATAAAAATAATGGAATATTATTTGGCTACTAAAAGGAAAGGAAATCCTGACGTTTATGACAACATGAAATGAACTTAGAGGACATTGTACTAAGTGAAATAAAGCAGACATAGAAAGACAAATACCGTATCATCTCACATATGTAGGGTGTAAAAAAGCTGAATTCATATGAACTGAGAGTAGAATGGTGGTTACCAGGGACTAGGAGACAGGAGAAATGGGGAGCTGTTGATCACATGGTACAAACATCCAATTATAAAATGAATAAATCCTGGGGTGCTTGGGTGGCTCAGTCAGTTAAGTGTCTGACTTCAGCTCAGGTCATGATCTCATGGTTCGTGGGTTAGAGCCCTGTGTCAGGTTCTGTGCCAACAACTCAGAGCCTGGAGCTTGCTTCAGATTCTGTGTCTCCCTCTCTCTGCCCCTTCCCTGCTCAAACTCTGTCTCTCTTCTCTCCAAAATAAATAAACATTAAAAAAAAATTTTAATAAAATAAATAAATCCTAGGTTTCTACTGTACAACCTGGCAACTAAAGTTAACAATACTGGACTGTATACTTGAAAGTGGCTAGGAGAATAAATCTGAGATGTTCGCACCCCCCACCACAAAAATAAAATGGTAATTATGTGGCCTGCTGGATTTGTTAACTAACCTTATTGTGCTAATCATGTTTGCAATGTATACATGTATCCAATCATCACGTTGTATATCTTAAACTTACACAATAGTATATGTCAATTATATCTCAATAAATCTGGGGGTCTGGGAGTGGGGAGGGAACTATGATGATTCCTTTTCATCACAAAAGAAAAGAAAGGAAAGGAAAGGAAAGGAAAGGAAAGGAAAGGAAAGGAAAGGAAAGGAAAGGAAAGGAAAGGAAAGGAAAGGAAAGGAAAGGAAAGGAAAGGACAAAGAAAAGAAAAGAAAAGAAAGAAAAGAAAAGAAAAGAAAAGAAAAAGGAGGAAGAGAAAGAAGATGGTGAAGGAAGACAGGAGGGAGGAAGTGGAGGAAGGAGGAGAAGAAAACACAGAAAAGTTTGTATCTCTCTAACCTCCCTTTTCTGATTAAAGGCAAGATATAAATTCTCCTTTTACTGAAGACAGACTCTTCGCCCGGAGATGGGCACCAGAAGAATGTGCAAACAAACTTTACTTCAGTGCCTGCCTTCCATACCTTTACCTTCCCACAGTTTGCCACCCTTGGAAACCTTGGTTTTAAAAACATTCAAGCTTGGGATAAGCTGCATTTGCCTAAACATGCCTCTTAGCAAAACATTAACACTTTCAAATTTGTTTGCACTAACATTATCAGTTTTCTTTTAGCTTTCTAAAGTATTTCATTTCTCTATCTCTATATGTGTCCTTTATAATGCCTAAAAATATTTATCTGTGCCTTCTAACGTTTTTCTCGTATAAATTTTACCAAGTATTTGTTTGTTTGGTCAGCCTTTCAAAAGAACCAACTTGTTGCTTTGTGGATTCTCTGTAGTGTTTATCATAATCGTCATAATCTAACTCATTCTTGTATTTATTACTTCCTTCCTTTTACTTGATTTGACTTGTAAAGACACGTGATTTAATTAGTTATACTTAATCTGCTTCTATCATTTTATTTTTTTTATTTTATTTTTTAAATTTTTATTTATTTCTAGGAGAGAGAGAGACAGACAGCGTGAACAGGGGAGGGTCAGAGAGAGAGGGAGTCACAGACTCTGAAACAGGCTCCAGGCTCCGAGCTGGCAGTCAGCACAGAGCNACAGGCTCCAGGCTCCGAGCTGGCAGTCAGCACAGAGCCCGACGCGGGGCTCGAACCCACGAACCGCGAGATCATGACCTAAGCGAAAGTTGGACGCTTAACCGACTAAGCCACCCAGGCGCCCCTGCTGCTATCATTTTAAATTGGTCTCTTGAAGGGTGCCTGGGTGGCTCAGTCTGTTGAGTCTTCCTTCGGCTCAGGTCATGATCACGCGGTTCGTGGGTTCGAGCCCCGCGTCGGGCTCTGTGCTGACAGCTCAGAGCCTGGAGCCTGCTTCAGATTCTGTATCTCCTTCTCTCTCTGACCCTCCCCTGCTCACACTGTCTCTCTCTCTCTCTCTTCCAGAAATAAATGAAAAAATAAAATAAAATAAATTGGTCTCTTGATTCACTAATTTCCCAGATCTTTTGATACACAATAATTTCACTACCACTTATTTCTAAATAGCTAATATTTTTAGTTAAAACATCCAAGCAATGAATAGTTTATCTTTAATTTTACTTTCTAAATTAATTTCACATTTGTGAAAGTAGCTCACAGATACTTAACCTCCAAATTTGTTGAAATATGCTTTTTGGTCATTTATTGAATATATATGTCTATATTTATTTGTCTTCTATAAGGTTGGCAACAATCATATTCTCTATTTAGGATAGAATTCTGTATACGTCAATAGATAAAATTGTTCATTTTCTCATCTACATCTTATTGGTTGAGTTTATCTCATATCTGAGTAATTTAGAGAGATTTTTCCAAATATTTCCCTATGAAGGTGGATTCCTTTTCCCCCATTTTCCTTAACATATGTTTTATGCGTCTTGAAGATATCTTATTAAATGTATACTTATTGAGGATATTATATCTTCCTGGTGAGTTAGGGTTTCTTTCTTTCTTTCTTTCTTTCTTTCTTTCTTTCTTTCTTTCTTTCTTTCTTTCTTTCTTTCTTTTTTTGCCATGTTGCAGTTAATTTGACTCTTCTTGATAACACACTTTGTCTTATATCTTATTTTATATAATGTCAGTAGAGATCAGCAAACTCTTGTTTGATCGGTTTTCTCTGATTTATGCATTTGCTGTAACTCTGTTAAACTACAAATAAATGTCTAAACAGTCTAAATTTTTTTGGTTCAAAGACATAGAAATTATTAATTGATTTATCAATATA